GGGAGAGGGGGTAACAAGCTCCTCTCCCATACATACTTCCAGCTGCGGGGGAGGGAGACCGACTGTCTCTGCTCCCAATACAGAGTCCTGCTGCTGGGGAAAGGAGACTGGGCTCTCTATTCCCGGTAGGACACTATGCCGCTGGGGAATGGAGACGGGGCTCCCAATTCCCAATGATCTGTGCTGCCTCTGGGGAATGGAGACTGGGCTCCCAATTCCCAAAGCATCATACTGCCGCTGGGGAATGGAGACTGGGCTCCCAATTCCCAAAAAATCACGCTGCCGCTGGGGAGGGGGGACACTGCTCTCCTCTCCCTGGACTTCACACTGCCTTCCCGGCATATCACTTGGCTGCTGGGGGGCAGGAACAACTACCTCTGCCCCCTGTAACTCAGCCTGCCGCTGGGGAGGGAGGACGCTGCTCTCCTCTCCCTACACTTTACGCTGCCTTCCCGGCATATCACTCTGCTGCTGGGGGGCAGGAACAACTACCTCTGCCCCCTGTAACTCAGCCTGCCGCTGGGGAGGGAGGATACTGCTCTCCTCTCCCTGCACTTTACACTGCCACTGGGGAATGGAGACTGGGCTCCCAATTCCCAATAAATCACGCGGCCGCTGGGGAATGGAGACTGGGCTCCCAATTCCCTGCAGGACCGGTGGAGAGACCTCGGTCCCATCTCTACCGGCCACCTGGGGTTCTTCCCAGTAAAACTGTACCATCTCGTCCCCTCTGAATGGGTCTGGCTCTGTCATGCTGCTCTCCTGCTGAGCCTTCTCACTGTATTGGAACAGCTGCTGGTAGCCCTGTTCTAGCTCCATCTCCCGGGTCACCAGGTGGACCAGGTCTTGCTCAATTTAGTGAGCGTCGTCCCAGTCATACCTGCTCTCCCTCCACTCCAAGAGATCACTGAACCGGGCTTGTGTAGGGCTCCCAAATTCGAGCTCTGAAAATGACTCCCATAACAAGCCAGGACCATCAAACTCCTCTCCCTCTGGCTTGTCATGCTCGGCTGTCCAGGGTAGGTACTGTGCCCCATACCACCAGAGCGCCTGGTAGGCATCTTCCAGCCAAATCTCCTGCCATACCTGGTGCTCCAATTCCTTCACCCATTCATCCAGGGGCTGTTCTCCCAGGAAGGGCATCCGCAGGGCTACTCGCTTCTGCAACCGCTGGTCTTCCTTGGGGAGTCTCTCGCCCCGCTGGTACTCCACAATACCCAGTGCCTGGTACCAGATGCCTTTACGGACTGCATCTCGGTCATCCATGGCACCCTCGTCATACTCCACTGCTGGTTCCATGCCGGTGCTGTCAGGGTCGCTGTACTGGGACATGCGTTGCCCTCAAATTGTAAAATCCAAAGAAATGGTGTCTCCTGTAGCTGTCCTTCTGGTTGTAGGAACGATCCTGCCGCTTGCCACCAATTGTAACGGACCGTTTTAAACACAAGGGGGAAAAACCATTTAGGCGATCGGCCCCCTTTCCAGAGATACAGGCACAGCTACTGCAGAACACCAAACTCCCAAACTGGATACAAAATAGCACTCCAACTTCCGAACTGGAACCTCCCAAATAGCTGCTAGCAGACGAACAGGAAAAGCAGACGAACAGCTTACACTCCTGGCAATCAGTCTCCAACAGCATACAGTGAATCCCCCCAAGAACGAGACAAGGCTCCGTGTTGAGGGTCAAGCAGTGGTCTGAGGTGCTGGCACACCCAGCCTTGTTTTTATTACAGTGTTTCAAATACAGGACCACCCACAGGGAGGGATAAAACAACCAATCATATCACAGTTACATCCCACATATTCCCTCCCCCTATCCTGAGAGGAAACTCAATTATACAAACAGTTAAAACATACTTTCTACCCAACTTTCATAACTCTAAAACCATACATCACATTCACATAAAATTACACATTCACAATCAATCCATTCAGGGGAACAACATATTAAAAAATGGCACAAATCAGACAAGGGGTTCAAAAGTTAGTAAAAAGTCCTTTGTGACTAAATGAAGCATGGCTTTCTGGCCCAAACCAGTTTCAGAGTCTTCTATCCTGGAGATAAGTAATTCAATTATCTCCCAGGACAGACACAAGACTCCATTAAGCACATGGTTGCAAAAAGACACAAAACACTTTAAAATACATAAAGTCACATTTTACACATAACACACAGACATTTCACATATCCCCAGATAGCTCAGGTCTGAGCGCACATTATTAAGTGAATGGCGCTCAGACCACACGAATACAGTTTAATCGCCATGGAGCCAAAGTCTTTACAGTCAGTTTCATACAAATGGGCTCCATGGGATTCCTATCTGGGGTATAACACATTCAAACAAATCTACTGAACCCCAGGCAGAAAAGCACGAATACAGCTTTTCTGCAGGCAAAAATAAAGTCTTTTTAAAAGGGGGCCATAGTCCAAAGGCAGCAGGCGAGCAACCAGGCTTCTCCAATGCAATGTGGCGAGATTGGTCTCGTCACATGCGCTCTCTCTGTATTGTGTGACGCTAGGTGTGCGCTCTCTCTATTGTGTGACGCTATGTGTGCGCCCTCTGTATTGTGTGACGCAAGTTGTACACTCTCTCTATTGTGTGACGCTAGGTGTGTGCTATCTCTGTATTGTGTGACGCTAGGTGTACACTCTCTGTATTGTGTGATGCTAGGTGTGCGCTATCTCTGTATTGTGTGACGCTACGTGTACACTCTCTGTATTGTGTGACGCAAGGTGTACACTCTCTGCATTGTGTGACGCTAGGTGGGTGCTCTGTATTTTGTGACGCTAGGTATACACTGTTTGTATTGTGTATCGCAAGCTGTGCACTATCTCTGTATTGTGTGACGCTAGGTGTGCCTTCTCTGTATTGTGTGATGCTAGCTGTGCTCTCTCTCCATTGTGTGATGCTAGGTGCACGCTCTCTATATTGTGTGACGCTAGGTGTGCACTCTCTGTATTGTGTGATGCAAGGTGTACACTCTCTGTATTGTGTGACCCTAGGTGTGCGCTCTCTGTATTGTGTGACACTAGGTGTGCGCTCTCTGTATTGTGTGATGCAAGTTGTACACTCTCTGTATTTTGTGACGCAAGGTGTACACTCTCTGTATTGTGTGACGCTAGGTGTGCGCTTTCTGTATTGTGTGACGCTACATATGCACTATCTCTGTATTGTGTGATGCTAGGTGTAAACTCTTCGTATTGTGTGATGCTAGGTGTGCGCTTTCTGTATTGTGTAACGCTAGGTGTACACTCTCTGTATTGTGTGACGCTAGGTGTGTGCTCTCTCTATTGTGTGAGGCTAGGTGCACGCTCTCTATATTGTGTGACGCTAGGTGTGCACTCTCTGTATTGTGTGATGCAAGGTGTACACTCTCTGTATTGTGTGACCCTAGGTGTGCGCTCTCTGTATTGTGTGACACTAGGTGTGCGCTCTCTGTATTGTGTGATGCAAGTTGTACACTCTCTGTATTTTGTGACGCAAGGTGTACACTCTCTGTATTGTGTGACGCTAGGTGTGCGCTTTCTGTATTGTGTGACGCTACATATGCACTATCTCTGTATTGTGTGATGCTAGATGTAAACTCTTCGTATTGTGTGATGCTAGGTGTGCGCTTTCTGTATTGTGTAATGCTAGGTGTACACTCTCTGTATTGTGTGACGCTAGGTGTGTGCTCTCTCTATTGTGTGAGGCTAGGTATGCGCCCTCTCTATTGTGTGACGCTAGGTGTGCGCTCTCTGTACTGTGTGAATGCAGGTGTGTGCTCTCTGTATTGTGTGACGCTAGGTGCGCGCTCTCTTTATTGTGTGATGCTAGGTGTACACTCTTTGAATAGTGTAACGCAAGGTGTGCGCTATCTCTGTATTGTGTGACGCTAGGTATACGCCCTCTGTATTGTGTGATGCTAATTGTGCTCTCTCTGTATTGTGTGATGCTAGTTGTGTCGCTCTCTCTATTGTGTGACGCTAGGTGTGTGCTCTCTGTACTGTGTGACGTTAGGTGTGCGCTATCTGTATTATGTGATGCTAGGTGAACACTCTCTGTACTGTGTGACGTTAGGTGTGCGCTATCTGTATTATGTGATGCTAGGTGAACACTCTCTGTATTGTGTGACGCTAAGTGTGCGCTCTCTTTATTGTGTGACGCTAGGTGTGAGCTCTCTGTATTGCGTGACGCTAGGTGTGTGCTCTCTCTGTATTGTGTGACGCTAAGTGTGCTCTCTCTATATTGCGTGACGCTAGGTGTGTGCTCTCTGTATTGTGTGATGCTAGGTGTGTGCTCTCTGTAGTGTGTGACGCTAGGTGTACACTCTTGGTATTGTGTGATGCTAGGTGTGCACTCTTTGTGAATTGTGTGATGCTAGATGTGTGCTCTCTGTATTGTGTGACGCTAGGTGTGCGCTCTCTGTATTGCGTGACGCTAGGTGTGTGCTCTCTGTATTGCGTGACGCTAAGTGTGTGCTCTCTGTATTGTGTGACACCTGGTGTGTGCTCTCTGTATTGCGTGACGCTAGCTGTGCGCTCTCTGTATTGTGTGACACTAGGTGTGTGCTCTCTGTATTGTGTGTAGCTAGGTGTGTGCTCTCTGTATTGCGTGACGCTAGGTGTGCGCTTCTGTATTGTGTGACACTAGGTGTGCGCTTCTGTATTGTGTGACGCTAGGTGTGTGCTGTATTGTGTGACGCTTAGGTGTGCTCTCTGTATTGTAGGTGACGCTATTGTGTGTGACACTAGGTGTGCGCTCTCTGTATTGTGTGACGCTAGGTGTGCGCTCTCTGTATTGTGTGACACTAGGTGTGCGCTTCTGTATTGCGGACGCTAGGTGTGTGCTCTCTGTATTGCGTGACGCTAGGTGTGCGCTCTCTGTATTGTGTGACGCTAGGTGTGCGCTCTCTGTATTGTGTGACGCTAGGTGTGTGCTCTCTGTATTGTGTGACGTAGGTGTGTGCTCTCTGTATTGTGTGACACTAGGTGTGTGCTCTCTGTATTGTGTGACACTAGGTGTGCGCTCTCTGTATTGTGTGACGCTAGGTGTGCGCTCTCTGTATTGTGTGACACTAGGTGTGCGCTCTCTGTATTGTGTGACACTAGGTGTGTGCTCTCTGTATTGCGTGACGCTAGGTGTGCGCTCTCTGTATTGTGTGACGCTAGGTGTGCGCTCTCTGTATTGTGTGACACTAGGTGTGCGCTCTCTGTATTGTGTAAAGTTAGCCAAACATCACAATTAGTTTGTGTAATGTGTGATCCAATCTGGCATTGGAAAGGTTAAACAGCCATCGAAATTAAGATTTTTTTTTCATCCACTCCCCCCTCCCAGAATTCCATAAACGTTTAAACAGTAATTACCTTTTATTGTATTGTGTGCCTGTTTTTAGGTATCTTTACCTGGCTTTGAAGAAGGATTGTGTAAAGAAAATTCAATGCATTAACTGATCCTTTGAGTTCATGACTCACAAAACACATTATAAAGGCAAAGTAAAACATGATTCGTCAAGGACAGAGGCTCCAGATCATGCTCAGACTCCATTTGTTCTGCGTTTTATTGCAGGCATGAAAGGATTGCAGATCTCGGTAATGTCTTTCTATTAAACACAAAGCAAACACAAGGAAAAAAAAGACAAAAATTACAAAACGTTAAATTAAACATCATTCAAACAAAACTGCAAGAATAGTTCTATGTGTAATGGGAATATTCCATTTAGAGTGCTGTATACGGAATTATTTAGGTAAATTTAAATTTGGGTGGTAACCATGGAAACCGGTGTTATCACCCTGGTGATACTACTCCAGATACTTTGTATACAATCACCATAGATCTGAGAGCAGAATTAAATTCTACATTCAGATAGTCATAGACTCAAATGAATACACTGCTGCTCTACACGTCAATACTAATACAATATTCATTTCTGTGACTCCATATATTGCTCACATTCATAGGACATCTCTTACTTTCCTAATAGACAGTTAGCCGTATATTTATTTGGTAGACATTACACATTACCGTGAGACTTCCTTCTGTGGAGCTCTATGATACATACACACTACACATTCCTGTAAGGTTTAATGCTGTGGCGCTCTCTGATACACTCATAAACAGTGAGCATTACAATGCGTTTTATTGCCATGGAACTCTGTGATACACATATACCATATATTGCTGTTTTATTTCTGATGAGACATATTGATACAGAGTACACATTACTGTGAGTTTTTTTGATGCAGAGCTCGATATTGTCTGCTGCACTTTATTGTCAATTTAATTATTCTGGGGCTCTGTGATACACATTGAACATTACTGTGAGTTTTATTGCTGTGGAGCTCTCTGATACACTCATACACACTGAACATTACTGTGAGTTTTATTGCTGTGGAGCTCTGTGATATACTTATACACACTGAACATTACTGAGAGTTTTATTGCTGTGGAGCTCTGTGATACACTCATACACACTCAACATTATTGTGACTTTTATTGCTCATACAAACTGCACATTATGGTGACCTTAATACAGAGCTGTGAGTTGTGTAACCTGTAGAGAAGCAGAATATTGGGGGTGGTTAAAAAGGGATAGGTGTCCTCTTTGCTTACACCAGGCAGCGGTACCTCCTCAGCATGCCACCTTCTGTGTCTGTCATTACCATAAGAATGCAGTACGAATGGGGCACATTTTTTAATAGATTTCTGAGAACCTATTAACAGTACGCGTAGTGACATCTAGAACATGACAATGCTTTCAATAGTTAAAGCTAAATGTGTGCTCCTACGATATGTGTTTTTTATTCAAAGTACAATACATGTATTTTATTGAGCTTGTCAGGCTGCTGTGTACAGTCTGTGTGTGTTTGAGGTATTATGCCTGGAGCTTTGTCACTTTAATTCCTGCGTTGAACATTCCCCATGTTTCACCACTGTGAAGTAAGTATGGGTTTACAAAATCATTAAAAGTCAGGTTTTGTAGTAGAAATGGGGGACTAATGCACATGACAGGAGCTGACATAACCTGGAATGACAGGAGCTGACATTTCACAATCCACTGCAGTGATCGTTTGTCATATCAGCAGCAGAATTGCGTAAAGAGCTGTGTGAGCTCACAACGTCTTGTCAGCAAAGCTCCGAAATGATGATCATCTCAATTTATAAGACGGTTGTCAGTTTCTAAGCAAAATATGTTACGATTAGCAAAAAACAATAGTCGTTTTTCCAGGAATACGCATTATTTTCTCTAAAAGTCATGGTTTATTTTTAATAGAAATGAAATAATTCAGTGCCAGACAGACAGATATGAATTTTACCAGCTCCACTAGTCTGACTTGAAATTAGAAATTTATTTTGAATTCACTTTGAAATCTCACTTTAGCGATTAACCCGTATTTTCTTGTTTACATTTACCATATGTGGCATTTCACAAATATTTAATTTCTGATTCATTCCGTGAATGTATAAATCCTGCGATTAAGACAAAGCACTCAATGCAAAAGTAAAGCTCAACAGATATAATGTAATCGTAGAGTGAGAAATATGGTAAATAGACACAGAAACTGTTAGAATGTCAACTATTGTATCTTAAAAAAGAATTGTTAGGAGCCCTTTCTGATAAATAGAATCCTCCCTTAGTTTCCAAGGACACAGGTGGTGTACAGTGAGATATGAAAAGTTGTTTCTAATCACATAAAAGATAATTTATATGTATTGTCTGCACCTTATTTCTTTTCCTGAATAACAAGTAACTGGTGGTTCATCTGTCCTCGAACACCAATTATACCGAGCGTTTCTTCCAAGAAAGAATTTCAAAATGTTTTATCATTGTAATTGTTAAAAATAAAATAAAAAATTTCAACAGACTTGTTTCATTACATTAATTTCTAGGTCTTTCTCTGTGCTTTCATTATATAAAATATATTCTCACGTTTTCTATTAACTAAAACTTTAGAGGGAGCGTCACCAGTGACACAACCTGCTTCACTGGTGATGCCCGTAATAGGTGGCTCCACCTGGAAAGTGGGCAGATCTGCCCATTTGATTGGACATGTGAGCCTGGAATCAAACACACCAGGCTCACCAACAGCCGCAGCCTTCCTCCCAGCCCCCTACAGAGAGGTAATTGCAGAGAGCGCTTTCTGCATAATGCTATAACCTAATGCGCAGTGGGAGGGGTATTAATGGTGTGCTTGCGCTGTGCTGCCCAAAGACAGTTTCTTGATGTTCCCACATGCAGGATTAAATTGAAATGGTGGGACAGGCCTCGACTGTTCTGCCAAAAGTAGGACAGATGGGAGACCTAGCTACAATAAAAAAATAAAACCTTATTACTAAATGTACAAATCCCTGAGAGGTTTTTCTATGACCATATCTCCGATACCGGCCTAAAATCAAGAGTTCTTATATTATACCATCAAATCAGGGAAAACTGAACTGAAATTAAAACAAGCAAAATGCAAGACAGTTAAAATAAGAAGTTTTTCAAATCATCTATAATGGCCTAACTTTAACAGGTCAGTTTTCAGTCCAACATAGTTAGGTATTTAATGAATAATTCTGTCTCCTTTTATTTATCCTGGGATTTTCCTTATAATTGGAATTATTACATATACAGAAATAAACCCTCTGGAGTGAAATTGATCAATGCTGTACAGAATACAAGGTGCATCGACTTCCCAAATTATGTTTGTTTGCTGCGTTTTCATAGTGGGAATTCAATTTAAACCAGTCAGTTTAAGCGGAGATTATGTACATGGCTGCTCTATGGATTTATTTCATGCAATTATCACAGAATTGTGGTAACAGAGTCTTCTCCTTGTTTCCAGGAATCAAGTGTTTTAACAAAAAGCTAGCGCTTAACGATAAACGTTTTATTAGAAGAAGTACATGCTGAGGCACATATTTCGAAGACAAAGATTCCTGCTCTAATTAGTGATGCTTTATTAACTTTCAGTATATGGTCCATAGTTTGAGAATAAGATCATCATGATTGGACATGAAACGCGTCTGGCCCTGCAAGGGAATTGGTGCGTTTACTTTTATTCAAATACAAGTAATAACAATATTAAAAATCACCAATCCATGGTATAACTTGGAAAAGTCTAGGACGTATATGTCTAAAGTGCTTATCTATCGAGGACAATGCATTGACAGTTCCTACTTGACAGAACTACTTTGATAAGACACATTACATCAAGTTGCAGTACTAATAAGTTCCCATTGCCTCTGATAGGGTGCACAGATCGTTTTGGCCAAATAATAAGTCTTATGAAGCCAATTCTGAAATAAAATTTGATTTAGTAAATATACAAAAAGTATAGCGAGTTTATAAAGGCAAAAGTGTCTGATGGAGTTGAGACAATAAACACATTATTGCAGTGAATTCAAAACTGAATTACACATTTTAGGCAAAAAACCCCACAGATTTTCTAAAATTTTCCATGTCAGCTATGGGCACAGCTTGGCTATTTTCTGTTATCAATTTTCAGAAATTAACCTCTCAATTGTCTTGAACGCACTAAAACCATGATCTCGCTGAGCTTAATAACAGCTCACACTGACTGATCCCGATAAAACTGTGCATGACTGCGTTATCAAATATTTTACTGAATACCGTTTGTTTTAGCTTTATCATTCTTTATATGCTGCATAGAAAAGTTCATAAGAATTAGTTTATTTTATAGCAACGTTTTTTTCTCCATGTGAATAATCAATCTGCATGCGTTAGGCCTCTAAATTGTCAGTATTTTGCTAAACAATTAAATATATAAAGCAAAAATAAAGGAGTTTATTAACTAAACAACTATTGTTTCCCAGGAGTCTATAAACTAAAGTGCAACCTACGATGAGCTGTCAAATTGGAGATTTTTTTATTTTTTATTTCCATCACTGGACTTTTAATTCTTCACTCAGTATCCAACGCACCACATTTAATTGCTGAAGAATAAATCTTCTACAGTTTGCTGGCCATATTTTCTAACACAGCAACTATGCTGATAGAGAAAGGCAACTTTTGACACGTCACAGCCCTTTTCAAATTACTGAGGATTGTGGGAGTTGTCATGCACAGCAGCTATATTGCAAGAGAATACTTGTCGTTGTATATTGCTCCCCTCTCTGGCTCGTAAAATATTGTGTCATAGCAAAATGAAAATCCCTGCAAAGGAAATTAACTATCCTGCAAATGACTGTACC